GCATCGGATATCACTTTTGTCACTGATGCATCAAATTTTCAAACTTCCATACAAACCTTTTTGATTTGTAAACAATGGGAGATGTACGAGTGTGCGCTAAATCCTACAGGATGACCTTTCAAACGAGAATACCACAGAGCCCATTAGAAACGCATAGACAGAAACTGGTTATAAACGATCAATGTACTACATGAGAAGCACGATTCCTTGTGGACGATAACAAGGAAAGATAACACGTGCTTCTTGGTTATCTATAATTATATATCTCAAATTTCAGGAGAAAATGAATATAATTTTATGTTGCTTACTCATATGAGCAGGTGTGTTCTCATCTAAAATTACATTCTGAAGGTTCTATAATAAAATAAAACAATTACGAAATGCACATTTTATTGATTAATCCGTTTCTTTGCGGACATACATATTTGTGGTGATGATGCATCAGTCGCTGATGATGTTGCACGATGCTCAGACTGCGGCCGCGATGACGTCTTGCATCCATCCCCAAACCTCATTCATGTCAGTGAAGACGTTGACCTGGCCACTGCAGGCGCCGTTGCTGCCATCAGGTAGGTACGATGCGATTCCTTCTATTGTCCAGTAACCCAAGGTATCGTTCTGGCAGACCAAAGCACCCCCGTTGTCACCCTGAAGGGAATTTGAAACAACACTAAAGTTTCATCATTTGCTACGACTTCGTGATAACGCTCTCAAAAGTTCAGCAACACGTTGTTCGTAGTTTAAACTCGCAGACAACACTGTTCCATCTGCGTGATGGCAGTACCCGTGAAGATCCGAGTTAGAATTGGTGGACTGACGGGATCGGACTCGCTTACTTGGTTGACAAATGTCAACTATCCCAGTTGCGTAGACCGATTCTCATGCTGTCGATCACTGAATTGTGTGGTTGATTATTGCTGACGTTGGAATATTGCTGAGTTAACCAAAACACCAACCAACTGATGGAAACGAAGAACTCAATTAATATGGAAAAGGGGCCCTAGTGAGGTGAGAATCAGAGCCCGAGAAAATCTAGACTTGCTGCATTAGATGTTGGGGTTTTGTTGTTGTTGTTGTTTTGTTTTTGGGGGTGTTCTTTGTTGTTGTTGTGATTTTTGTTGTTGTTTATATATTTTTATTTTTTATCTTTTTAAAAAAATTTGGGGGGGCGTGAAAGTAACCCATGGATGAAAAGGAAACTTTCACAGTGAGTGTGAGACAGGACTAGGAGAGCGGCAAACAAGCATGATGGCAGCCAATAAATAGTCCAGACAAACCGGTGATTTATGTTGCACTACTCCTACTACAATCACATGCATCTCTCCAGTCAGGCCATGCCTTCCAGTTTGTCGTGGCTTAAGCATAGGTTACCAACTACTCTTCCCCGAACTTCCAACAGCACAGCGTTTTCAAGTATAATATTTTCTGAAGACGTCGGACGTAAGTGTGTTCCGATTCATTCTATCGATGATGAAAGCTGAACTACATACTTTCTGTATGTGAATTGTGTGCTTATATTTGGTTTGGGTTTTTTATGTCACTTGTTGTGAACAGTGTCTTGCATCAGATATGTTCAAACTATTTCAACCTGTAGTCATGTTTACAAATTATCACCTTCACACAGCAACATCCCAGCAATATCAGCAATATCACGTCGGGGGACACCAGAAATTGGCCTCACACATTGTACCCATGTGGGGAATCAAACCCGGGTCGTCAGAGTGACGAACGGACGTTTTAACCACTAGGCTACCCCCACTACCGCCCTTAACACCGAAATCAAAAATGAATTTTAGCATAATTTAAGTGACAATATAAAATCGATGGCAATAGATGTTAAATGTGTACTTGGTTGGGAAAGCACTCGATGTTGGATTTTCACTCACCACGCAAAGTCCCGAGCCTGGTGTTTTTAGGAAAGCGCAATGGGTAGCTGGAGGTTGAACTGTTTTCCCTCTTAGCATGGTGCACAGGCTGTCATCAATCACAACAGTATCAGAAACCTGGCGGATGCTGGTGTTCGACAAATGAACGTTCTCTGAAATAAACATCAGGTTACATGTAAGATATGTTATATTTGGTTTTACACTTTCTTTGTAAAGTACAGATTCTAGTACTTTTGTTGGGTTGAGTCCGATCCGGGATTCGAACCCACATCCTCAGAGTCAGGCACCTAATCGCCAGCACACAATTGCGGCATTGCGTATTTCATACTGGTTACAGTCCTACTTGTTTGCATATGATTAGTGAATGATTGAAATGAGTTATCTTTCCTTGATCATTATTATTTTTGCCATGCCATTAATGCAGGGCGTCAGTTACCACGGCGATGAAGGTTGGGATAGCGCATCCATCCTGAACGGGCTAGGATTATGATAAGGTTATGGTTATAAATACTTTAATATCGATTAGTAGCATAGGAAGATCACATATGCCCAGGTCATTGGGGTAAAATCTGCCAGGTCACAATTCAAGGCGTCCTGATCCGAAAATTAGTCAGCTCTTTCTACAGTCATCACGTGTTGTCGGCAATGGAGATTACAGATCATAGGTTTCTCGTGACATGAGGACCTGTGTGGGTACCTGACTAGAGTATAGGACCCAGTTATCTAATTAGGAGATAAACCTACTCTGTGGGAAAATCAGAGGGATATAACGAAATTATAATAGTTTAAATTTCATTTAAAACCGAACGCGTAGCGTGAGGTTTTAAATGAACAATTTAGAGCTATTATAATTTCGTTATATACCTCTGATTTTCCCACACAGTAGGTTTTATCTCCATTCTACCATGACAATTTTATGAACAATTTCAGGTGGAGCTCTTTCTTTGGTTACGAGTCAATACGTGAAGCGGCCTCGCATTCCAATCTCAAGTGGTATCGCCCGAAACGGGTGTTTGGTGGCAAACCGTCAATGACTAACAAACTCCAGATTCAGTAATAACAAATCACGTTTTGTTTTTCAATGCATCAATCACCAATCATCAACTGATAAGTTGGAAAACATATATCAAATAAGTTTCAAAAGCTTGGTTCACATTTGAAAATTCCACCGTAGACCCTTTCCCCACCAGAATAGTGGCAGCAACCTCATGACCTTGACCTTTTCTCGAAGTCATTGTTTACATTTGGAAAGATGCGACAGGAGAGCCACTGACAGTTTGCGCAAGGTTAACCTGATTGTATGACTGAGATAGTCTTTGATATCTAATAATTACTGGTACTGGTACAAAATTTAAGAGTAGGGCGCTTTTGCTGTAACGAGAAGTCCATGTTGTACCGAATTTAGATACTGTTGAATTTTGCGCCCTGTCAACTTGACGATTTCACGCACCTCTACGTCTGCGTGCGACAGCTGTGGTGACTTACACACTCATGTGTGTACTTTGTGCTCAAATTCGATTCTACGGATATTATTTTCTACATTTTGGAAAGTGTTTTGTGACCTAGTGGCTTCAAAGTGTAGTGAATTCAAATTGAATCGGATTGGCTGGCATGTTCGCGAGTCTGTTGACAAAGAGCCAGATTTGTGGTGATATTTCCGAAAGGATGGATCAGGACACAAGGGTGTACCTCTGGCATAAACACGGTAAGGTAATTAATTATACTTTAATAGACTACTTTAGATCAAGCAGTGTAATGGATAAGAGGGATCATGACTAAGCTAAATAACTTTTTCAACGATATTATACATTTAGAAGAAAAATATGTTGGGCTAAACAGAACGGTTTGCAGATTCTGTAGATCTAATTGTGTTTTACTACCGCTAAATTTGAAACAGTACAAATTTCAAAATATCATTTTGTTTGAATTGATAACCCAACTGTTTATTTTATGTGACGGAAGGCATTAGAATCTAAAATTTCTTCGGCGTTCGATGTTAATGCATCCTCCGTTACCGGATCAAGATCAGTGGCGATATCGTTGACGAAAGCTGATAATAAATTTAACACGGAAATTTTGTAGCAGTCTATTGCTGGATCTATTCTGACATAACATAGAATCAACGTAAACATATTTGTTTTTGCTGAATTTTTATTCGGAAAGCAGACGGTGTTTTGATCTTGTTCGACTGAATATTTGTTTCCATGCTTTCGAAGTACTTTTGTATGTATAAACACCTATTGCTGTGATTTACGCAAGTAGTGAGTCGTGCCCGTCATCGCTAAATCCATCTTTAAAGACATATGTGTAATTTCCGACAGTAAAATCGCCGTAATTTATCGATGCATCGGTAGGTTGTTCGGTGTCCGCCATGTTAGTGGGTAGACAAAAATAGTGCATTACCGTAAACCATGTATGATTGCGCACGGAAAACAGAGACCTGTATAACGTGATTATATACCTCTGAATGACTTTAATTAACCAATCACAATCCAGTGTTTACTGAAGTCATGGTAGAATGACTGTTAACGATGGTGTCTGTACCAGACAATCCATTTAGCATCGAGCCACACAATCAGTCAATCAATCTGTCAACCGCCAAACGAACCAAGCATTCACGTCACTGAACCCTGACAACTGACGCCATTTTGTCGAATCATAAGAAAGGCATATTATATTGCTAGTCGGTTACAGTACATTTTAACCGGAATCCCAATTTGAGTTATAAAAGGCAGTGGACACCTGGATTAAATACAAAACAACCACATTCAATCTAAACACTCCTACCCTTTAACCTCTCTAATATTCTGACCCGCGAACATCCGGGTTAGAATTGATCAGCAACCGATCGATGTCGTAAGAGGCGTCTAACGGGATCGGGTGGTCAGGCTCGCTGACTTGGTTGACATATGTCATTATATGCCAATTGCGTAGATCAATGCTCATGCTGTTGATCAATGGATTGTCTGGTCCAGACTCAATTATTTACAGACCGCCGCCATGTAGCTGGAATATTGCGGAATGCGGCGTAAAACTAAACACACTCACCCACTATCCTCCCCTCAACTCCTGTTGACAGACCCTTAGGATGACTTGGCCATCAATTAAACTCACCCTCCGTATTTTGTTTTCCATACCCTGCTATCACACAGGTCCTGGGTGCACGGAATACATTGTACAGATCCGACGGTGGACACACACGGTTGATTCTGTTCGAAAACGTAATAGGCGAAGAAAGGCGTGCAATGGCCACGTTGTAAGCTGCAAGTGAAAGGCATTGACGTGGTTTAAGGTTAATTCTGCCATAATCAATCAGAGACTTTGGTTTAACGCTCAATGCAACTGTCACAATATTTCATGACTCTTGGACATCTTGGAGCAGGGGGGTAGCAGGAAAGGATGCAGGTGATTGAAACCCAGAACCATTGGTATGGTGCTAATAAATAAATAGATAAAAACAATAAATAAAACAATGCGAACTTCTGGTTCGACCCAAACAGTAATAAGAATGCTGAATATTTATAACGCGCCTTTCCAGGCTTCATATCCTGCTCAAAACGCACAATGGGATAATTATTACCCCGGATAACCCAAGCTGCCTGTGAGGCGCTAGGTGAGGTGAGGTGAAATTGGGTTTAACGTCGCGCTGGAGAATATTTCGCTCATATGACGACGTGAATGCATGTGTATGTGTATGTGCGGCTGCTTGTACTAGCCCAGACTGAAGCTGGTTTTATAGTGCTAGCTCACTGAGATACCATGCCGCAGTGAAGCATGAATACCCCACTCAGACACATTATACTGACTCCAAGCCGACCAGTCCTTGTTGTACCCATTAATGCCGAGCGCCAGGCAGGGACCATATTTTAGCGTCTTTTGGTATGACGCGGTCGGGGATCGAACCCGCGACCTTCCGCTCTCCGGGCGGACGCTCTAACCACTACACCACGGAGGCGGTCGTGAGGCGCTAGGGAGTAAATAGTCACATATCATATCCCGTCGGATACCCATTTTCTGCTGGGTGAACAGAGGCAATTTTGAACAAAGTCACTTCCCTCAGGTGAGGCCAAATGTATCACATGTGTTTCGTTGTGGCTCAGGACTGAAATCTTAGAATCTCTCAGAAGTCAAGCTGCCAAACACGGTCACCCATCCAAGTACTCTCCGCGCCAACGTTGCTTAACTCAAAATGATTTGTGGCCTGAGCTCTATGCACAGGACCACACAACACCACGCATGATGCGAGTCTGAAGAACGCAGCTCTGGACCGTGCATGGACAATGTTGCAAGACAGTTGATTCTCCTCGATACACATAACTAAATGATCATCAGAATGTGCCATCACAAAGGAGGAAATATCTTTATATGATAATGACAGTATTTCAGTAATCTCTGTTATACAACTGACCATGAAGAAGACGACCACAAGTGGTGCACTTGTGCCTAATCCCATCGTCTTTTGAACAATAAAATATGTTTAGAACAATAGTACTGGCACCAGAAGGTATGCTAGTACCAGTATCCCTGTTCCTACATTCAACAGCTTAAACAAGTCAGAAATAAAAGCCAATTGCAACATGACATTTTGATATTCATGCATTAATTATGGAGAGAATAACGTAGATTGACATTTATTGGGAAAATAACTGTGATAAAAACTTTAGCATTATCTACTCTTGTTCACATATTCTCTACTTTGCCGCAACCACCCAAAGAATTTGTTGATGAACTAAGCTCAATTTTTTTTAAGTTTATTTAGAACTCTAAAACCTGATAAAATTAAACGGGCGAATTTGACAAGATAACTATGAGAATGGTGGATTGAGAATGGTAGATATAAATGTGTTTTATATCATATTTCATTATAGAAAACTGCAAAGCATTATATAAGAGACCTAGTGATCGGGCTCTTATCCTTTGTAGACTTGAAAAGCATCAATTCTAAACCTATATGTGTCTACGATCTTAGGATGAATAACTTTCTAATGGAATGGACTAAACCAGCAAAGGGATCTCGGAAGATATATGATATACTTGTGCAAAATAATTATCTCACTATTATTTGTAGTAAATGGCAACAAATGTTCTTAACTGACTTAAACTGGAAGGAAATATTTAGTCTTCCTAAACAATGCTGTAGAGATATCAAGCTACAAGATTTCCAATATAGATTTTTGCATCGCATTATATACACCAAAAAGGAATTATTTAAAATGAAGCTGATCGACAATAGTATTTGTCAAAGATGTAACAATGAAAACGAATCGATTGTGCATGTATATTTTGAATGTCCCCAGGTTAGTCATTTTGGGTACAATCTGGAACAATTTTTGAGACAACATCTGTGTTATGAGATTCAGCTTAATCTTGAATCAATCCTCTTTGGTATCCAGGGGACCGCAAACTTCAAACTGGTGAACCACATTCTTTTGGCCGGAAAAAGATATATATATATATATAAGTTGTATTAGAAATGAATCTCTATCTTTCAAATCCTTTATTGCTACCTTGAAAGATATTTTTCAAGTTGAGAGATATGTTGCTAGAATATAAAACCAACTAAAAGAATGTATGAGTAAATGGCTACCACTACTCACAACATGGACCGATGTGTCATGACTCTTCAACAGCTTAAAGTAGAATTTTGAGATCGCAAATTACAATATGTGTCAATCCACGGATGGGAAAATATATACATATTTATATGCATAAGCTGTATTAAAAAATTAATATTGACCCTAAAACATGTGGAGTAAACGGGATCCCAGTACACAACATGGTCTGATGTGTTATGACTCTTCAATGTATACAATCTATGTTCTTTGTGCAGTAATACTTGAATGTATTTTCTCATGTTTGAAGACTGATGTGTTGTGAGCTGTCAACATGTACAAGCTTGTATTAGGCATGACATCTGTATAATAATGTATGAATGTTTCTACCTCTTGGTTACCCAGAAGGATGCGGTGCTATTATGAAAACGAACCAAATGAACCCAGGAGCAAACAAGTAATATTACTCATAGCACCGAATTACCTAATTGCTCAAACTTAGACGATCCGCAGTTATACAACTTTGTTTGGATGATATTCGTATAAACCGACTGCAACTAGTTATGTCACCTGTCAACGTGTATGACTTTTGTATAGAATGAATGTACCTACTGATGTGAATAAAAACATGTTGAAAAAAAAATCATGGAGAGAATAAAAGTGTACAGATATGGGACGAATGAATTAATTGATTAATTAATTAATATTTATTATCATCTGTAAATTATATAAAGTGTTTGTCAATCTTCGTTTGGATAATGTTACTTATGTTTGGGTTTTGCCGAATACGTTTCATCTAGATGCTTGAGCAAAACTAGTGCAAGTCGTCATCTAATGTGTGAAAGGAAATATTTTGCAAAAGTCATGGTTGAATCAAAATCTACAATCATGACAGAAATCATGGTGGCATGATCGACTTGCTCCTTTACCCAGTCGCTTTTATCCCTGCTACACGAGCCGATGTAAATATTTCCAAGTTTCTGAATATTTTCAAACCATCTCCTAATTTAATAGTACAATAAAGCTTTATTTGCAACATCGTCTACGATGGCTACGGGTGAATGATAATAATAGATACTTTACACACCCAAACCAAAATCTGGGTCCGATGCGGTGACAATACCGAACGAAGCGAGGTCGTTGAAGTTAGCATTGGGATGGATGCTGTAGTTGGTCAGACTCCGTACTTGTTCTTCAGCTTCAACAGTAGCTCCATCGTAGTCTCCCACCACGACGTTACACATCCCATCACAACTACCAACAGAGTAATTATATTATAAAGGACATACATTGAAAAGTAAAAGAGACGGATTCTCGGGGTTTTCAAAGTAAATTTCTCAGACTGATATCATTATGGATTGCATGACCTTTTGTATTAGTTCGTTTGGTTGTTTTGTGTTTTTTTGTTTTTGGGGGGAGTGGGGGGTTGTTGTTTTTGGGGGTGTTTTGGGGGTGTATTAACTCCGCACCCTGTAATAGTCCTGCTATATGGTGGCAGTCTAAAAACAGACAAACCAGTGATCAACGTCATGGGCATCAATCTATGCAACTAGGATACGATGACAACCAAGTCAGCGAGTATGACCATTCGATCCCGTTAGTCGCCTGTTACGACAAACTTGCTTTGTGGAAGACCAGTTCTAACCCTGATCTTCACGTGTCCGCTTTATATTAGATAGGGACATGTATCGTGAACTTCGGAAAACTGGAACGTAGACATGGACGCCCCAAATATGTGTTGTGTATCGCCGCACAGTGCAGTTGCCCAGCTTCTTAAGGCAGCATGTCTAGATCAGGCAAACTCGAGACTGATATAAAAAAGCATTAGGCCCGTTCGCTGACGTGGTTGACACATGTCATTGTACCCCAATTACGTTGTCTTGGCCAGACTCATGTATTTACAAACCGCCGCCATATCGTTAGAATATTGCTGGGTGCGGCGTAAAACTAAACTCAATCAATTAAACTAGTTTATTTTGACACCTACAGTGCAACGCAGAATCCGTCCACGGCAATCCATTCCCTGTCGATGATGACACCGCTGCAGAGAACGAATCCAGCAGCATGAACGACTTTGACAAGCCAAGGATTCTGGGATGCCTCGTCGGGGATGCGCCGACGATACGTGAAGTTACAGGCATTCCACACGGGGGTACGACTTAAATACAGAATGAGAAGTTACTACAAAATATCACATTTTTTAGGAAGAAACTAGTCCCTTTTCCTTTTACCTTAGCCTTATTTCGATTAAAACTGTTGATGGTATGATGAACCTTTGCTGATGCTGGAAGCAAAGTCTTTTCCCTTGATTTTTAACTATCAGTGGGCTCCTTTCACGAAGCAACCTTTACTAACGTTTACCTTAACTCCCATTCTTTAACATTGCACTAAGGTTACCTTTGTGACTTACGATCACCTTAATGAGTAAAGTTCACCTTAGCGACTTACGATCACCTTAGTGCTTTGTGAAAGTAGGCCCTGATAAATACACAACTGGGACCACAGCGCCGGAACTACTTTCAATAAGCTCCATACATCGGGTTTAATTCCTCTCTACTGATTTATCTTAAAGCAGGTTTCTAGAAGTGTTCACGGTGTTCCGGAGTTCCTCAGTGGTGTTTTGTTGTCGTTGTACTAAACCGCTGTGTATACATGTACCTACCATCAATAATGTCACAATTTGCTCCAGTGAATCCCAGGGGACAAGCGCACGTGTAATATGGCGCATCTACCTGGCGGTTACACGGTCCTCCATTCAAGCATGGTCCATTCCCAGCACAAGCTGAAACATACAGAAGAGTATAAACCACACATAGGTATATTGGTACAAGCGAGTCCGGTAATCGCGTCCAGTAATTCTGCGCAGCTGTAATAGCGTACTTCCGTATCGAAGGTAAACATTGTCTGCTTCCACATTTACGCTTGAAATCGGGACATTTCTACAAGGGACTGGCTTTTAATCACTGAAGGTAAGTAAATAACAGTAACTGACAGATAAATTGACAGTTTTATGAAAAATCGTTTTCTTCAGACTTTTAAACCTTTTTCTTCATTATTTCTAATCGGATTTAATATGAAACACTCTTCCTTACATTGATGAAGTGATTTTCGAAAATATTCTGGCACTCATACGCTTCCATACTTCGGATCTCCAGCTGGAAGTTATGCGCAGAATTACCGGACAGAAAGCGACAGAACGCCGGTAAGGTCAACCGTATGGGGGGCGTTGGGGTAGCCTAATGGTTAAAGCGTTGGCCTGTCACGCCGAAGACCCGGGTTCGAATCCCCACATGGGTACAATGTGTGAAGCCCATTTCTGGTGTCCCCCGCCGTCATGTTGCTAGAATATTGCTAAAAGCGGCGTAAAACCAAACTCAGTCAGTCAGTCAACCGTATGGCATAACGCAATGTTAGAATCTTATATTTCTAGGTAAATATGATGCATACTAGCATTTTTAGTCACGTAAACCACAAAAAATAAGAGACGTTAGTTGCCGTGTTGCGATCGATGTGCTTAGGTGCGCGGAATTACTGGACGGCATTATATAACACCTTTTGCAAACTTGTTGCTAGTTCAGTTGTACTACTCAAACATTACCCCAAGATCCGTATTAGAATTGGTCTTCAACAACCTAATATGCTCGTCGTAGGAAGCGATTAACGGCATCGGGGGGTCAGGCTCGCTTGATTGACACATGTTATATCACAATTGTGATGATTTTGATCATTGGTTAGTCTAGTCAAGACCCATTATTTACAGACCGCCGGTATATATCCTGGAATATTGCTGTGTGCGGCGACAACAAAACAAACATACTAATTCAAATAATTTAAGGACGACCCAAATCATCACTTTCACAACACATGTAACTATGGCAATACAAAGCATTAAGTGGTCCTTAATTTCTTAGTTCTTCTTTCTTACAGTAAATACATATATATATATATATATATATATATATAATATACAAAAGGACAGATGCAAATATAATCTATTGTTGCATTTGCGTCCAAAGTGTATTTACCGTCAACCTCGCAGTTTAGGCCATGGTAACCTGGGGCACAGACGCACGAGTACTTCGGCTCAGTGTTATTACGTTGACATACACCCCCATTCTGGCAGAGTCCATTACCTGCACATGCTGAAAAATCGAGACAATGACAATCAGACGCCATTATTTGCCCAGGTTTAAAACAATGGAAAAATGACAATCAGAATCCATTACTTGACCATGTTTAAAACAATGGGAAAATGACAATCAGGATCAATTACTTGCCCATGTTTGAAACATTGGGAAAATGACAATCAGAATCCATTACTTGCCCAGGTTTAAAACACTGAGACAATGACAATCAGAATCCATTACTTGCCCATGTTTAAAACAATGGCAAAATGACAATCAGAATCCATTACTTGCCCATGTTTAAAACTTTGGGAAAATGACAATCAGAATCCATTACTTGCACATCCTAAACATATTAAGACAATGACAATCAGAATCCATTACTTGCCCATGTTTAAAACATTGAGACAATGACAATCAGAATCCATTACTTGCCCAGGTTTAAAACAATGGAAAAATGACAATTAGAATCCATTACTTGCCCATGTTTAAAACATTGGGAAAATGACAATCAGAATCCATTACTTGCCCATGTTTAAAACAATGGAAAAATGACAATCAGAATCCATTACTTGCACATCCTAAACACATTAAGACAATGACAATCAGAATCCATTACTTGCCCAGGTTTATACCATTGGACACAATGACAACCAGAACCCACTCCATTTTGCCCCTGACATTAAGCTGAAAACATATTATATTGACATTAAGACATGATCAGAATCCATTACTTGCTCCTAAAACATTAAGACAATGACAATCAGAATCCATTACTTGTACATCCTAAACACATTTAGGCGTAAAATAAACTCGTTCACTCATTACCTGCAATCAGAATCCTTAAAACACTGGAGCAATGACAATCAGAATCATTACTTGCCCAGGCTTAAAACATTGAGGCAATGAAAATAAGAACCGATTAATTACCCATGCTTAAAGCATTGAGACAATAGCATTTAAGTAATAATACTTGATCAGAGAGAAATAGCAGCGGGGCAGTATTAGTATTCTTCACACGTTTCAATATGAATAACTGCCATTAAGAATCTCATCACAATTTCCACATCTGTAAGTTGAAAGTATTTCCAAACAGCGTCACGATATAGCTGAAATATTGCAGGTGTGACGCTAAACATTAACTCACTCACTATTTCAAAACATACATGAATATTAGGAGCATTAAGCGAGTGGAAGAAAGTGATGCTGCCAATTCCTACCAACTTGTATATGTGTACAATATATAACTGTGTAATATAAGTACCGTCGACGTCGCAGTTAGCTCCAGAGAAACCAGCGTGACAGGTACACGTGTTCTGGATGCATGTTCCGTTAATGCACGAGTCAGGGGAACACGCTGAAATAAGGAATAATAATATTCATAACAATAATAAGAGTATATGTACAGCGCTGGCTTCCACCACGTAAGGGCAATACTCAAAGTGCACAAATATAATCAGATTATTATTGCCCGGATAACCCAAGTTGTCTATGAGGCGCGAGAAGGTTAATAGTCAAACATAACTTATCCCACCGGGTACCCATTTTCTGCTGGGTTAAAGAGGCATTTTTTGAACAAACTCACCTCTGAGATCACGCGTATCATATACATACACTGAGGGGCAAAAGAAACGATACCAAGTAAATTTCACAACGTGAGAAAAAACAAGACGTCATAAGCATAAGGTGACAATTTATATTTTCAGAACAATCAAACAACTACAACATATCGTAAATTCATACAGTCATAACCAAAGAAGGTACAGATATTCAACAATTAAAGAGGGTGGGGTCGATTGTCCAGTATTCGATCACGTACAAGTTTACACAGTCCCACTGAAACAGTCATTTGAGCACATTTTACCACAAGTTAGAGTCAGTATCGAGTGTGTGCTCCTCCAGCATCGATACAGGCTCGAACTCGACGTCGGGCAGATGACGTCAGACGTCTGATCACCGGACGTTGGATCCTGTTCCACTCGTCTTGCAGTGCTCTGGCAAGAGCTCTCCTGTTGGCAGGCGGATGTGGTCTGGCGCGAATTTGCCTCCCAAGATGGTCCCAAAGGTGCTCAATGGGGGAGAGGTCAGGGGAACGTGCTGGCCATGGTAAGACGTGAACGTTGTTAGCGTTAAGGAAACCCTAACGCGCTGTGCTCTATGGCATGGAGCATTGTCGTGTTGGAAGACAGTTCGGGGTTCTGCTGCAGGAATGGCAAGACGACTGGTCGGAGAACCTGGTCGATGTACCTTTGACCATTCAAGTTACCGTCTACGATCACCAAGTCTGTCTTTCTGTCTCCAATTATGCCTCCCCAAACCATGACGCTGCCACCGCCGTAGGGCTCCACTTCTTGTACGCAGCAACGTGCAGTCCGTTCACCTCTGCGTCGATGTACCCGTATCCTGCCGTCTGGTCTGTTAAGGTGGAACCTGCTCTCATCTGTAAAGAGTACTCGAGCCCATTGCCTGTTCTGCCAGCCTGCAACTTGGCGTGCCCATCTCAGACGTTCACGTCGATGTTGACGGCTCAGTGCTATGCCACGGAAGGGTCGGTAGGCGCGAAGGTCGTGCAAACGTAGCCTCCTAGACACCGTTCGTCTGCTGACACGATGGCCGAGCGCTGTCTCTGCCGATGACGTCACCGTGAGGAACCTGTTACGTAAGTGTAACACACGTAGGTAGCGGTCTTCAGCGGCGGTCGTGACGGGCGGCCTACCACTACCGTCTGTCCGACGTTCTGCCTGTTTGCCTGTAACGTGCCATAAGTCTGGTGATCGTCAAACGGATACAGTTGAAGATTCGGGCAACATGGTCGTGGGTCGCACCAAGCTGGATCATACCAAGTGCCCGTTCTCTTTGCTCTGCTGTTAATCTTGGCATGGTCGATGATGTTAACGTTGCAATCTGATACTGGCGAACATTTCCATGTGCTTTTTATACTCAATACGACCCATGCACGTCATTTTGCACGTGCATGAAAAATTGCCAGTCAAATGCATTTTTCATGACTTTCCATTTCCAAATGCATGTATTTTGGCGCGAAGTTGCGTTCGTGCGAAGGTTTTCTGTTCCAAACCACCTAAAAAGTCTGAGTTCAAATCCAATTTGTCCCCCATTAAAGTTTGGTATCGTTTCTTTTGCCCCTCAGTGTAGTTACAAACTGAGAAATATGACTTCCCTTTAAAATTTGTTGTTTGTTTGTTTCGCCACCTTTGTTTACGGCACACACAGCGCCTGCGGAGGTGTCATTTATAAGTGTGCATCGACGAAACCATTTTGTGAACTTGTAATGATACATTCTCTCGTAACGAAATCAAATACTAGTATGTATCTATAAGTAAATAGCAGGGTGTAACGGATATAACTAGCATTAATGACGAATGTCACCAGCAGGATGTGACGGGATCCAATTATCACTTTGTGAGTCTATTCGCCAGTCCGACGGATCTCATGCTGTGTGAGTTCAACTTATGAATCTGCTTGTGATATCGTAATGTCTTAGCATGGTTTATTGATTGTTGCTAACACATTATTACACTTGTTTATCTTTGTTTACCGCTCTGTCTATTTATGTATATCTCAATGCCATGTGCGAGTTCGCTAAAAACCATCCAGGCGAGTAGCAAGCCATTTTTTTCGTGTAATCCCTATAGGTTGCACAGCTTAATACTTAGATAGTATTGAGGGATTTTCCTTCTTTCATTTTCAAAATCATGTGTAAGCCCGGACTTTTTTCATAATGGTAGCTACGCCCCTGCCATCATTCAATACAACTGCCTGTCTGCTCATCCTTGCCGAGGCATTATAGCAGTGAATGAGTTTATTTTTTACGCCGCACCCAGCAATATTCCAGCTATATGACGGTGGTCTGTACATATTCAATCTGGACCAGACAATCCAGTGATCAACAGCATGAGAATCGATCTCCGTAAGAGGGATACGATGACAACCAGGTCAGCGAGCCTGACCATCCGATACGGTTAGTTGCTGCTTACGACAAGCATGGGTGACTGAAGATCAATTCTAACCCGGATCTTCACGGGTCGTATGAGATAAGGTGAATTCAGTCGGTACAACCTGGTGATACGTGATATTAATGATTATGACAAACACGGTAAATGTAGACTGTTAATTCTGTGTGCTGCAATCAGCAGTGTTATTGTATGTACTACCACATCCCTCAGCAATAGTCCGCCTGTGTATTAGTCAGTAAACCAGTGATTGACATCATGAGCAGCGCCCAACGCCATCTAGGTTTGAGTGAGTTTAGTTTTACGCCGCACTCAGCACTATTCCAGCTATATGGCGGCGTTCTGATGCCGTCTGGTATGATGACGCCAAGTCAACCGTGTCAACGAGCTTGACTACCACATACATTCCTATACGTCGCCTCTCACCACAGGCAGAGGGTGCTGGGGATCATATTTGATAACACCATGGTATCTTGAAGAAACGCTACAGGATCAAATGCATAGGAATAAGGGGGCGGTCGGTAGCGGTGGTTAAAGCGTCCGCTCGTCACGCCGAAGACCCGGGTTCGATTCCCCACATGGGTACAGTGTGTAAAGCCCATTTATGGTGTCCCCCGCCGTGATATTGCTGGAATATTGCTCAAAGAGGCATAAAACCATACTCACTCACTCACGCATAGGAATACATGTACAGAGTTGCAGATGGTTACTGGATTGCTCACGGAAGAAACATTAGGTCTATTCCTTTGATATTCAAGCTAAGACAACCATTGCTGGTATGTACAAAGCAGTTCATGTTGGTGTCAAGACCATTCTCTTAGAGAAACGAGGAATAATGCAGATAATCCCCAGATTAAATTCTCCTACATTCATATATACACCAGTAAGTAAGAATATGCATACCTTTGACTCCAATACAACATATTTTGTTGTCAAAGCATAGGGATTCCAGGAACTGGGTGCCTGTTGGACACTGGCTCGCATCATAGCAGGTGTGCTTCTGGATCTCACATGCTGAAACATAACACAGCAGCAAACTTGAAGACAGTCATGGTAAAGCATATAGCACTGGTATACATTTTTTGAAAACTGTTATGTTTTGTTGGATCAGTTTTATCAGGATTTTGTTTTGCTGACGGGCAACGATGGAATTTCCTTTGGTCTGTATTTCAGGCTTTGTGGTCTCGGGACTTCATGCCTTTCATTGTGGCTCGATGACTATCTTTAATGAACTTGTTATAAATGAATGAATGAATGAACGTATGAATGAATGAGCGAATAAATAATTAAATAATTAAATAAATAAATAAAACTGAGAGATTATTCCCCCTTACTTTGGCTCACGAGAAACGTTGGGAATGTACAGCAGACTGTTGCGTATATTACATAAATTACGTTAGAAATATGGTAAAATATTTTAACATTATCGAGGGAAGTAACAATTTTATTCTCTTTTCATTATTCAAAATACTTTGATATTATATCATTTCACTATTAATTCATGTACTAAGTCCATATCAAATTCATTCAATAACTAAAGCAAAGCTGGACAAAGTACCAAAACAAATCTGTATCTGTTATGATCCGTTTGTTTATTCTCTGGCATTCGTGTGTGGTTGTATACTTCAAGCGAAAATAATATAATTTCCCGCCGTTGCTGTTTTGCAAACAAATAATACCAATAATTTAACAGTCGAATGAAAACTTGACTTTCAACCCTGTATTATTTTTCTCATGGTGACAGTAGCATGATCATATTCTCAGATTCGAAACCGCAATCAGCGGATCCTTGAACACAATAGTGAGTGAGTGAGTTTACTTTTACGCTCCACTCAGCAATATTCCAGCTATATGGCGGTGGTCTGTAAATAATTGAGTCTGGACCAGACAATCCAATGATCAACACTTGAACACAATAACCAAGCAGACTATTTCAGACGACACCTATATTCTCTTCGAGATCGCTTCAAGATACAGTGTACAAAACACTACATGTAGCGGCATGCTTGCAAGCCTATAATAGTATTAACCAAAACGAAGTGATTAACCTGTGACCGGTCTAGAGTTTTAAGGGTGATCTGTCAAATAAAGGTATAACTATTCTCAACTTACGTGATCTGAACACAAAGGAATGTCCACGCTGAGTGATAACCACAAGAACACAAACAGCGACGGTAAGGGCGACCTTCATCTTGGATGCAAAGATGATACGGAAGTTGCCACGCATGAACTGTCAGAGGACCCCACTGACATCCCGACCTCATTGTGCGTGTGGCCTTTCATGACTCCCGTCAGCTTCTGTCAACAAATTATCATTCTATGTACACAACCTGTATGTCAGTCTTAACTTCATACGCATTATTTTTCAGCTTGTTGATATTGTTCACATGTCGGAGAATTGGAATATGACCATGCACATAAACAACACTGATTTGCCACAATTACAGTTCTCAATGGATCAAATGTGTATATGTTGACAATACGCCAAGTTCGTTTGACGAGTCGTTGTATAACCACAAATGCTTGTTTCTATGTATTCTTAACAAGAACCAAGTGTATTTTTATCATTTATTATTTATTCATTTATAATCTATTTAAATAGCTCCAGCTTGGCTGCTCACAGGAGCTTTGTTTTTCCCTTGATGATTGGATGTCAGTCTCAACGGCAAATCGTATTATCAATCTCAACTCCCTTATAATATGATAACACATGCAGTAAGTTCGTAGTAATAAAACATGGATGGGTTGTAATTCTTTAAATTTAGTTACATTAAATGTTTGATTTAAACATATTTTATTCACAAATGTGAAAGGGATTGGGGACAAGTTATCCAACTTAAAATACCCGCTCCCTAATATTTACATACACACAATTTCAATTATATACATCTTAGGAAAGAATACAGAGAAGAGATAGGAAAGTAAAAGAGAGAAGAGAGGAAGGGACACGACTTGTGTGATCAAAACGTTTTGATTGATGAATAAAAGTTTGCACACATTTGAAAATGCATTCATTCTGTTGAATAGTCAGGTCAGGACTTCCAAGTAGCATCAGCGACAATGTGATTGGAGAATCACGTTTTACAATATTTTTAATATTTAACATTAATATCTCTCTTTGAATGCTGTACAGTCTACATTCTAATACGAAGTGATGTACATTTTCACAAGCATTGTCACAGTAACAAGAAGCAGAATCTTTCATGTTGAAACGATACAGATCATAATTTAACTGACTAGTCATATATCTCAACTTTGTGTATATAATATTAAATTGTCTAATGCTAAACGAGTAATATGATGGAGCTACAGGTTGCCCACCCGTTAAATACAACTTGAAACTTTGTAATGAAGGTCGATTTCTTTTGGTTTCTGAAATATTATTCCATATTCTTACAGTTGATGGAAAAAAGGAATCATACGAAAGTCTTAACCTTGCAGAAGGGAGGTTAATATTAAATATTTTAATTAAATCTTTGCTGACATTGATGGGAAATTTTCTTTATTTACTGACGATAATCTTCTCACTGAGACCCAATGCCCTCAAACACGCTGTCATTATGTAAACATACTCTTCTTAATGTGTTTACACTTTGCCACGAAAGCTGTTTGCATAGCAACTTACAACGCGCAACGGCACAATGTATGGATTAATATTTGGAGGTATAAAATGTTCTCACGGAACGGGAGTGGATGGTTTGAATTAACTATTTAAAGCATGTAGTATATTGTCATTCCCCTCGTTGAAGTTGTGTACCTAACTACATTTCTCTCGCAGGGATGGGGGTTAGAACATGTCCCAAACACTCTTTGTGGTCAAGAGCGGTGGAGTAGCCTACTGGTTAAGGCGTCCGCTGGTCACGCTGAAGCGCCGAGTTCGATTCCCACATGGGCATAATGTGTGAAGCCCATTTCTGATGTCCCCAGCTGTGATATTGCTAAAAGCGGCGTAAAACTAAATTCACTCACTCTATTATAGTAATCCTTTGAACTCAAGCGGAGGTTACTTTGATGTTGATGAAAATACGGATCTCTTAACATCTTTGTAAAACAGCTGAAACATTATATCTCAGATATAGTCTCGCATCTTGAAACCGGAGTTAAAAAGGATCGGTTTGTAAGAGGAGACGAGGTGAGAATGTAAAGCAAGGCTCTACGATTTTGCAGGTTGCGTGCAATCCAAGAAACGTCGTGTTTTTGACCGTTGTTGCATTCGATGGTTTTCCTTTCTAAGACTGCTCAGATTCTACGTGAGAAATGGTCGTAAGAAAGTCATTCTCGGTGTCTTGCGCTTACAATATAAATAAGGCCTGTAAGTCTCGCGAGGCGTTACTTCCGGTACTAAGCTCCCTTTGCGCGCGCCAACTTGCGACCAGCTTACTTCCGGTACCAGATTTCCGATGACAAGCGTATATTCAAGGACTAGTTCTGAATACTAGTAATAATAGTTGCCTTAACAAAACCGGACCAAGTGTACAACCACCAGCTGTCACAGCTGTTTACAGTCGTAATAGTTGGCTAATTTGGGGATGGTCAGGTCGAAAATTTGTTATTCCTGCAAGGATTGTCGGTTCCTTACTGTCAACTGACAACCATGAGACCATTCGAAAAGATATGAACGGTCTCTAAGGTCTCGCGAAGTGCCGTGACATACGTACGGGCCCTATTAACTATTTACCCAGGCTCTATAATTTACATTACGCTTCCATATAGCTACAATATTGCGGAGTGCGGTGCGAACACCAATGAAACGAACAGCCGTTGCAATATCTTTGACTGAGGCAGAACCATAAGGTTCAGATGGTGATGTCCATTTTAGCATTATACAGATTCCAACACATCTTGGCAAGAAACCCGAGTTTGATTGGTCAACAGGAGGGTGTCATATCACAATGGCACCACACCTGTCCAAATGTACCAATAATTGTGTCCTGCACAACCTTTTAACGCCACACACTAATATTACAACCGTATGGCGGCGATCTGTAAATAGACGAGACAGGACCAGACAATCCAGTGATCATGGATTGTACGTAGGCACTATTTCGACTTGTTTGGTTTTTATTAATGGAAGCCATTTGCGTTGATAATGTCATACTGTGATACTTCAACATGCCACTTGCGAAAGAACACATATTTATGTATTACTTTCTTTCAATCGACCTCTTTTTCTGTACCTGATAGAGGCACGGTTGACCCAGTCATCTAAGTGACATAGTTCACTGAGCTGAGTTGCGTCTCTGAAGCCTGACAGAACATATATGATCGTTTTTTCTAATCCCAGACACATGTTTCTAGGATCGAAAGCACCATACACGTGCTCATGGGCTTAAACAAATCAGGTTTTAAGTCTATCACTCCTATTGTTTCTCCCACACAGGTGTGTTTGTTTGTTTGTTTGTTGGTTTGTTTGTTTGGTTGGTTGGTTGGTTGGTTGGTTGGTTGGTTGGTTCAACACCGCACTCAGCAATGTTCCAACTATATGGCGGCAGTCTGTAAATGATCGAGTCTGGATCAGACAATCCACTGATCAACATCAGGAGCATCGTTTTACGCAATTGGAATATGATGACAAGTGTGTCAACCAAGTCAGCGAGCCTGCTGGAGACCAATTCTAGCCTGGATCTCCCACTCAAGAGGCGTAAAACTAAACTCTCTGTAAATAGGAGATATTAGATGAGCACATAGCAGTTGGACGAACATTACTACAAAATATGGTATATTTCATTGTTATTGATGTGAACAATATGTTTATTGAATAAAAGTACAGACAAAGTGAGTGCATTTTACGTAGGTGTTTTGGTATTTTCTATATGTAATAGTAATTAAACGTGCTTGATTGACAGTGGTGTTTTGATTCGTAGTGATCAAATACTATATAAACTAATAAACTCAGCAACAAATGTTCTTGTTACACGGATATTTTTTATTGAATACTAACTTTTGTATACAATCATGAAATAACGGGTTCAGGGCACTATGACAGAGTATCCAAACGCATCTGTCAAGGTAATTTTTGCAAATCATGAAAAAATTACTTTGCACGAGAATTTTTGTGAAGAATGTGTTAGACTGTGGATATTTAAACCTGGGTAGTGGAGAGAATGTTTCATTCCTGATAAAGACACGTTGAAGGAGTGCAACCTGAAAAAACATCAAAATTCTCAGCAGAATTAAACAATTGTTATGCCAAGGCTAACAGAAAATGAACGTTGGCGAGTTATTGGAATGCTCCAATCCGGTACTCTACAACGAGAAGGTGCTCGCAGATTCAAAGTCCATCGAAACACAGTATGGAACTTGTGGCAACGACACCAATAAACAAATCACGTCAGAGACCGTCCTCGTAATGGTCGACCCCCGGTAACGACCCGACATCAAGACAACTGGATTCGACAGACACACCTCCGGAACCGTTTCCAGCCAGCAACAGTCACAGCAGCAACCATCCCTGGACTGAGGCGGATATCACCACAAACCGTTCGTCGACGTTTACGGCGTTTTGGGATCATCGCACGCCATCAAGACGGCCGATTTTGACGTTACAACATCGCCAACGACGTCTACAGTGGGCTAGACAGCATGTGAGCTGGACTCAACGTCAGGGCATCATGTCCTCTTCACGGATGAGTCCAGATTTTTGCTTCACAGAGCTGATGGCCGTGTGCGAGTTTACCGTTGACGTGGCGAACGTTATGCTGACAATTGTGTCATGGAAATTGATCGGTTTGGAGGCGGTAGCGTGATGGTCTGGGGTGAATTACGGCTACACACAAGACATGCGATGGAGGTGTGTTGCCTGTATCAATTCTGCTGGTGGTCACACCCGGTATTAGAGTGGGACTTTTTTTTACCCCCTAAGCATTCAGATTGGTGTTTTACCCTTTGAAATTGTCACTTATCCGAAATTAAGGTTGTCATTAGCAGGTCAAATGTCTGTTCTATGAAACAAAAGTGTTTGTATTAACTTCGTTTTCTTATGTGTTTTTCTACACCATTTTTAATAGCGTCACACGAACTTTTGTTGCTGAGTATATGTTAAATATATATTATTAGCCAACTGTGATTATGGAATTTAATTATGATAAATGAAAATATATTATAGTGTTTTGCAGGCATATTGCATATATATCCATGTCTAATATATGTTATTTAAAGTGTTATTTCACACGAGGATAATCTCTCGTGATCACATCAAGTTATTCTTACAATAACCGTTGTTTGAGTCGTAATTATTCTTAGTCACAGAACTTTCGAAATCATGACTACAATTTTATAGTAAACCATCCCTTCATTAGAAAGTGCCAACATTAATTTTGTTTAAAGCAATTGCTGTTCCATAGTTGGAAACTCCTGTCTAAGCATACTAGAACGCTTGTAAATGCTTTTTAATCGATGCATGGAGATTGATTTGATTAATATCATCGATAACAATCGATCAGTCATATGATAAATAGAATCTAACCCAGTTGTCTTCTGATATCAAATATGTCAACACGAGTTGATAAAGTAACAAATATCCGAGGGAGGCATGCCGAGGATAGTTTTACTTTTATCAACGAATGTTGATATATTTGATATCAGCTTGACTGTATTGATTTTTCCATCACAATAAATATTTCAGTTCAAAAACAGCAATATTAATTATCATTGAATTATTGAATTTTTAAAAGAAATTGTACTAATTGATAAATTTTGATTGATATGTTTTGTATATAGATATATATTTTATTATTGATAGTTAAATTAGATTGTTAGTGGCGGTATCCTCAAGGGAGGTTGAAGTTAAATTATTGTCCTCCTGAGAGGATACGTAAGTCCAAAACATTCGAAGTAAAATTTAATCTTCCACGTGTTTACTCGTAGTTTTATTGTCATTCTAATTTGTGGCTAAATGTGTCTACAATCGGTAACATCTGAAGGGATGGTGTAAATCCAACTAGGGTCCATGCAGGTAGTAAAGGTACTGTATGTCCCCATGGCCCCCTAGTATGGTCATCTGCTTTCAGTTGTAGCCCATTTTCACGTTGTATTGTCTAAAATAGTTTTCTACTTTTAAAGATATATGCTAGCTAGTTTTAACTGTTTTTTGTGATACTCTAGTTGTTTTACAGTCCGTCGATGACTGGTCGTTTAATTACTTGTATTTATTGTGTATGTACAACTTTTCTCGTCACTATATGTCTGAAATATTGCCGAGGTGACCTTAAATTTTAACTCACTCACTCACTATTTGATATCAGATGACACGAGGGTGAAATATATTTGTCATTAAAAACTGTGGGAATGTGGCCGGGGCGGTGGGGTAGCCTTGTGGCTGAAGCGTTCACTCGTCCCAGATTCCATTCCCCACGTGGGTACAACGTGTGAAGCCCATTTCTGGTTTCCCCCGCTGTGATGTCACTGGTATATTGCTAATAGCGGCGTAAAACTATACTCGCTCACTTACTTATGGTCAAACCATTCTTGACCAAATAAGGGGATTGTATGAATTTCTTTTGGCCTCCAAGGATCTACATGATCTGTGGAATGAACGAAAATGTAAAAAATCTTTGTGAAAATTGGCAGATGTGTTCGTTGGAATCAAAACTTGCAACAAGACAAATGTATGCTCAATATTCAACGTGCCAGGTAAGAAATTTTTTTTACTAAGGAATATTTTGAGAAATTACAACACAATAACTAAGCAATAATTTTAGAAGGTCTACATTCGATACGTCGATATTTTTCGCTCTATAGCCATTATTGCCTTCTTCTTTAAGTCAGAGGTCCAAAACTGGAATGTTAAAAGTTAGAAAATAATTTTCATTGTCAACCATTGGAACACGTCAGAGTGAGTAAATGTCACTGAGTGAGTATGGTTTTACGCCGCTTTTAGCAATGTTCCAGCAATATCACGGCGGGGGACACCAGAAATGGGCTTCACACAGTGTACCCATGTGGGGAATCGAACCGGGGCCTTCGGCGTGACGAGCGAATGCTTTAACCACTAGGCTACCCCACCACCCGGAACAACTCAGAGAGTGTGATACGTTTTAATTCCGGACTGACACATGTCATCGCATCCCAATTGCGTAGATCGCTGGTCATAATGTCGGTCACTGATTGCGTACAGTTGTACCCAGACAGAGTAGATCACTGGATTGTGTGGTCCATATTCGATTGTTCTTAGAGCTGGAACATTGTGGCGTTGAACAACAACACATACACTCACGCACGCACGCACGCACGCACGCACGCACACACGCACGCACGCACGCACATACACAAACACTCCAACAAAAAAAGCGCACACGCACGCAAAGCAATCTCAGGGTTAAACCACGATTCGGCCTGACTCTTCAATTCCGGCATATCTTCGTAAAGCAGCTTGAACCGGAGATAATCTACAACGTTATATAGTCTCCCTGCTTGAACGTATTCTCAAGGTCGTAGGACAACATAAATCGATGATGAAATGCATATTTTATTGTTCAGTCATCAGTTAAGGAAGCAGGTACAGCTGCTGACCGCATTCATTACAATTATTTCCTCCTGTCTGAACCCTCAGGGTTTAGGGAGCGGTTATAACTGTCTGAATCCAGGCCCATACCGCATTCATATCAGTGTAGACGAAAGTGCGAGCGCAGGTATTGGCCGTGTTATCGGGCAGGTAAGATACAGTTCCCTCGATCGTCCATTCGCCCGAAGTTACGTTCTGGCACACCACAGCAGCACCGTTGTCCCCCTGAATTGAAGAATTTGTTTTTGTTTTCACAACTGTATGTTTTTTTCCGTACTTGATAAGGCCACAGGCCTATAGTACATTACAATACAAAATATACTCCTAACTATTCATAACAAATAACGTTAATACTAAGCTTAATGATTATTCGTCTCTTTCTTTATACGAAAATTATTCAATAACTCCAGTTCTCAACTGAATTGTACACATTCTGAGCGGGAATTTTGAATTTTGGCTCGGAACATTCACGATATTAGAACTGCCAAAGTCGCTAGCGACAAAACAATGGTCTCAATTTGTAGCCAAATCTATTAGCCTGGCATCAGTAAAACCTACAAGCACTTTTAGACACTGCACAAACATCTAATTAAAAAATACTTTTTTTCAATGTTTCGGAACAGGTTTTAAGGACTGCAAACTTCATTGCAATATATATTAGCATCTACACCCAAAACGTCCCATTGGCAATCTTCCTCAGCATAACAGCTCTTAAATGCTACACAGATAAGTAATACAATATCGTCATCGTGAACGTGAAATCGTCTACATATTATGCTAATAAACACATGCAATTATTGTTTATCTGCAGCTTTCTGCCAACAGGGGAACTGTTCACACTCACATTGCAGACCAAGGCGCCAGATGTTGAAAAGCCGCAATGAGTTGTTGCCGGTTGAGATCTGTTTCTTATAAAGGAGCACACACTGTCATCAAGGATGACGGCGTCAAGAACCTGGCGGACCACGGTTGAAGCGTTTGAGAAGAGCGTTTCTAGAAACAAGACACTGGTTGTATTTTATAACAATTATAAGATCAATGGCTATTTATAAAGCGCCTGTATACAGGCACTTCTGCATGCTCAAGGCTCAAAGTGCTAAAGCATTATTACCCTGTTTAACCCAAGCTACTTGTGAGGCGCAAGAAGGTTAAAGGTCATACTACTTATCCCACGGGGTACCCATTCACTGCTGGGTAATGCTAGGGTTACGCTGTGTCCCCGGCGGCCACGGCAGCCCCGGGACAAAACAGGATCCGCGTGAGACAACGTGGGGGGACGGAATGAGCAAACGTGACGGTCCGTGGTTGCCGTGGATGCCGTGCCAGATTTTTAAACAGTTCAAAAATTAGCCACGGTGCTAGAAACCTAGTAGGATGTAGTAAAACGGGGGGAACGCAACAAAACGTGACAACACGTAATAGACCGTAACAAAACTTGTAGACGGTCCGTCCCTGCATCTCAAGGTTCAAGTTTTGTCACGTTCGGCCACGTTTGTTTGGCGTTTTGTCACGGTTGTTTCACCCTTGTTGCCCGTTTTGTCCCGGTTCTCACGGCAAGCTAGGGTGTATAGTAGCCGATTCGTCCCGTTCCATCACGGTGCATCGAGGCGTGTGACGGTTTACAGGGCAGGCGACATACGGCACGTTGCGTTCTCTGGTATTCCCTCTCTGCAGCTGATGCTGGCCTTCTTGCTGACGCAAGGACTCGATGTAGGCCCCCAGCAAACATACAAACACAAAATCTTTTTCATCTTGGGGGTTCATGCTGCTTTTGTGCCTCGTGATACGATGTCTGCTTATTTTTATACCGTGGGCACAAACGTGGTCCAAAGCTGGCCGGCGTCCACGTTTCATCGTAGAAAGTCTTGACAGAACGCGCAAAACGTGGGAAACGTGAGGGAACACATCAGAGTGCGACAGGCCGGGAGGAAACGTAATGGCATCCGTAGTGGACTGCGGGCCGAACCGTAGTTCGCCTTTGAGCTTCCGGGACTCAGCAGCCCGTTTTTCCCAACGGCCCTTCGCGGATACCGTGATAGACCGTGAGAAAACTTAGCAGAACCTAACAAAACATGACTTTGGAGGGGGACAAAAAGGCCCAAATCCCACTGCGCACTACATTTCGGGGAAACGGGGCTGCCGTAGCCGCCAGGAACATAATGTAACTTGGTATAAACAGAGGCAAACTTTGAACAAACTCACATGCCTAGAGTGTGACCACATGTGTCACTTGTGCTTCGTTGTGAGGCAGGACTGAAGTCCTAGAAACTCACAGGAAACTAGAAATGGCCTTCACACATTGTACCCATGCGGGACGAGCGAACGCTTAAATCACTTGGTTATCCCACCCCACCCCATTCAATTCAGGCCCAGTTCCCCCAAATCTCACCAAAGGGGGGTTGTTGCGGCCCTTTGTTCCCCGAGGAATCAAGAGACATAAGTCAAGTCACCAAAATATAAGGAATAATAATGACGAAACGTACCATTTATTTGGGTCTGTTGGCCAAACCCTGAAACTTTGCAGTTCCTGGGAGCACGGAATGTGCTGTAGACGTCAGCTGGTGGGCACACGCGGTTCACCCCTACGGCAGGATTAATAGGAGCCGAAAGCCGGGCCAGAGCCACGTTGTAAGCTGGAGAAGTAGAATAATACGAAATAAGAAAGATGTCATATACATTATCAACAATCTCTTGATCACAGGGGACTTGACATGACCCACACAAGCCTCCTCTTGTATCAAAACAGTCTACATAACATAAATATACTGAAGTCACCAAACCAAAGGATTAATGTTTGTCAGGACACCAATCCTGGGACCCGTTTCACAAAGCTCTCGTAGCTACGACTATCGTAAGTCAGTGTTACAGGGCCTAGATTTTCGAAGCTCTCTTAGCGCTAAGATAGTCGTAAGTTTATGTTAATGAATGGCACTTACGACTATCTTAGCGCTAAGAGAGCTTCGAAAATCAAGGCCCAGTACAGGATGTACAGATGCTACGACAAAAGTTACGAGATCTTAGGCCTACGAGAGCTTTGTGAAACGGGACCCTGGTCTGAAACATCTCTCTCGACGCGAATTCAACATTGATATGTTGCTGTAGTGACTGAAGTAAATGCACTTACGGAGAACATTTTCAGGATCAGCAGACCCAACAGCGAACAAGGTTTGTATACTTGTGTTGAACTTGGCGTCCGGGTGGACTTGGACGTTAGACATGTTTCTCACTTGCTCTACTACCGCCCCGTCTCCCAACAAGACGTGACAAGCGCCACCACAACTGAAAATATGCACAACAAAATATATAAAAGGTTACATCTCTTTTTATCGACTTTTTAATACAAATAAATAGTAAACGTGGTAATATTAAAAGCTTGGTCACACATATCTGTATTTTCATTAGTCACCAACAGTAAAACAATAATTGGAAAAATATATAAATAAACCGTCAATCAACCTAACAGTCAATTCACTCTTTGTGATCTTCAAAAACCTTAAACTGGAGTTATTTCCTCATCTAATTTTAACCCCTAAAGCACCCACTGTTGTTATCTTTCTCAGATTATACCATTCGAATCTAGACAGCTAGCGTATTCCTCATGTGGCCTTGGAGTACAGAGATAATATTTATCTCAGCGTGGAACAGGGAACGGAGTGAAATAAAGTACAATTCAGAACGTGTCTACACCTATTTTTACATTGGCTTAATGAAAACTTGTATAACGTGTGCAGGTGTCAATGCGCGCGCGCGCACGCACACACACACACACACACAAACACACACAAACACGCTCGTCAAATTGCACCTGAAATAGCAGGTCTTTAGTAACCGATGCCTGTCGTAAGAAGCGACTAACGGGATCGGGTGGTCAGGCTTGCTGACTTGTTGACACTCAACTCAACTCAACTCAACTCAACTCAACCCAACCCAACCCAACCCAACCCAACCCAACCCAACCCAACCCAACTCAACTCAACCCAACTCATCTAAAAAATTCAACCCAACTAAACCCAACTCAACTCAACCCAACTCAACTCAAAACAACTCAACCCAGCTCAACTCAACTCAACTCAACGCTCCATGATAATTTCACTTACAACGCGGCACAATATCCATCGAAAACAACCCAGTCAAGGTCAATGATGGTACCACTGCAGAAGACATCATTAGTAACAGTTTGGACGATTTTCACATTCCAAGGATTTTCTGTCGCTTGGTCAGGTGCTCCGCCAAAGATACGAGGGACGAGCGGTATTCCACATGGAGGCACCTCTGTAAAGCATTTGGAACAATTTATAAAACTATACAAGTGCACATTAAACAATCAGTTGTATTGTGTGATGTTCCGGTGAAGACTAACAAGAAATCTGAGAAGCCAATGTCATACTTCATCAACTCGCAGTCGTACAAGATTACTAGTATATAAGGCTTGTGCAGATGTTTACGCATGCACGCACAGACGCACGAACACGCATACTGACGCACGCACATGGAAAATAAACCTGGTGTATTTTCAACTAAGATGTTTATAGGGAGAAGGGCCACCGAAAACTAATCGGTCTATCGTGACATTTTAGAATCCTGCATTCCGATTTTTCCACCATAGGAATGAAATCTACTTGTACAAAGGTCTCGGTAATGATAACAATACAGTGAAATGAAATATTTAATCAGAAGCACTTTTACCTGGATTAAACAGAGCCTTGCGGTTGAAAACATATTGACAGCGAGAATTGAAGTATAATTCACTTGGAAACCTGAACTACCTAAGAGAATGCGCTGCAATATTCCACGTAACTACACGGGTGAGTAGTTGAAGGTTGGTTGGTTTGTTGTTTAACGCCGCACTCAGCAATATTCCAGATATATGGCGACGGTCGGTATATAATCGAGTCTGGACCAGACAATCCAGTGATCAACATCACGAGCATCGATGTACGCACTTTGGGGTACGATTGCGTACGATCCCGTTAGTCGGCTCTTACGACAGGCATTGGTCGCTGAATGCCAGTTCTAACCCGGATCTTCACGGGTCAAATAAGTACATATGTCCTCGTGGTCATCCATTTAGTTCAACGCATGTGTACTTACGGGATTCACAGTTGTTGCCAAAGAAGCCGTCGCTACAGTTGCACTTGGGTGTCGTGCCATCAGGTACACATATACCTCGACCGCTACACTCCGTCGGAGTTCCCGGGCACACTAAAACCGACAGGCTATATATGAAAATACTCCTCTCTCTCATTACCGCCCGACCAAAAAATTCGACCCGACCCTAAGATGTTTTTGATTTTTTATACTAGAGAAAATGCAACGTTGACTCTCAAAATGTGCATGAATATTTCACGCTTCAAAGTTTTCTATCGGAGGAAAGGTCAGGCGCGTAGCAAGCCAATTTTTTCGTGTAAGCCCGATAGATTGCAAAGCTTTATATTCAGATAGTGCTGAGGGCTTGCCCAACCCTTTTAGCAACAATCATGTGTAAGCCTGTATAATGGTAGCTACGCCCCTGAAGGTGTAAATTTCCAGAGAAATCAAGTTTTTTTTACATTAAATAAATATAACATAAAAATAAAATCCGCCCGCCCGACCCATATTTTTTTAAAATGTGATGAGAAACAAGAATTTTTTTTATGCGGCCTAAGGATAAAACGTTTTTAAAAGCCTCACAGGCAGAGAAACCACACATAAGGATAAAACGTTTTTAAAAGCGTCACAGACTGAAAAATCACATAAGGAAAAAACATTATGAGAAGCGTCACTAGTGGGCCTTTATATTAATTTCAATTAAATAAGTTCAACTTGTCAACAAAGCACCTTTGGGTCGGATTTAGTATGCTATCATTCCTGTACATCGGAGTGTTTTGAAATGATAATTCAGAAATCATTGTAAGGTATGTTCGAATGTGTTAAAAAGTAACCAGTCGATCAGGACGTTCCAGTTGTCCGAATGTTCGCCTGTACCCTAGTGGTCACTTACCTGCCTCGGTGCAGTTCTGACCAGTCCGATTGAAGGGACATGTGCACATGTAGTCTGTGTTGCCGATGTTGGAACATGAGCCACCATTACAGGGATCCGGCTGGCACACTGGAAAACAAGAAGAGCTACTTATTCGACTTATATATATAGTGGCATCGACTGCTCATCATACTTTAGATAACGAATCCTTGTGTTGCGAGAATAGTCGCAATCTATTTAGAAGGATAAGTTAAGTGTCACTCCCTTGACCATTGAACAATCTCTCGATCATGGGTCATCTTGCCATGACTCACATAAGCCTCGTCTTGTATCGAAATAACACAAATACGAAATGTACTGAAGTCACCAAACCAAAGGATTGAATTTTCAACCCTGCCCTCATGGTGATATAAAGTGCTTGGTCGTTAAATTTCTTTTAGTTTGACTAATATACCTACCTATCACCAATTCAGACAAAAGTGGATATGCTAAAAAGCATCCACACGGTATCCGACTGTTGCATTACAAACTCAGTGGTCAATATGTGAGCACAGGAGCATATATATTCAAGGCGTACACTGTAGCATGGAACAGGCATGCCTACATGTATGATGTACAGGCAAGACTTACCATTGAGTTCACATAGCTCTCCATGGAATCCAGCGGAAGCATTGCATACACAGAGCCTTGTCTGAACATTGGCTGGATCAGGATAGGTGCAGTTTGCATCCGTGTCATTCGTATTGCAGGGGTTATTCAAGCACACTGAAGGACAAGTATAACAATGTCAGTCGTGATCCTAGTTATTTCCAAGCGAGAATATTGAATAACAAACCGTGTATAATGTTTTCAGTTCATAGGAGATGCAGATTTGAAGGAGATGTTTTAGAAGGTGTTAAAGATAAGTCTATCGCGGACATGTCACAGATCAACAGAGGTTACAGGTGAATCTATCGTGGATATGTCACGGATCAGGAGGACATGTTACAGGTGAATCTATCGCGGACATGTCCCGGATCAGGAGGGCATGTTTCGGATCAGGAGGGCATGTTACAGGTGAATCTATCGCGGACATGTCCCGGATCAGGAGGGCATGTTTCGGATCAGGAGGGCATGTTACAGGTGAATCTATCGCGAACATGTCCCGGATCAAGAGGGCATGTTTCGGATCAGGAGGGCATGTTACAGGTGAATCTATCGTGGATATGTCCCGGATCAGGAGGGCATGTTACGGATCAGGAGGGCATGTTACAGGTGAATCTATCGCGGACATGTCCCGGATCAGGAGGGCATGTTACGGATCAGGAGGGCATGTTACGGATCAGGAGGGCATGTCACAGGTGAATTTATCGCGGACATGTCCCTGTCTTTACGACGTACAGATAATAATCAATAGGATGAATATGAAAAAAACGAGTTAATATCAAACCCATGCAAAACACTTCCATATTTACGATTACTCCCCTACTGCTTACGACAAACGTGAAGGAAAATAGTTCTGCAATGACGTCATAAACGTTGGAATTTTTTCAATGAGCTTCTATATTTCCCAATACTAAAATTATATATCGCACCGAATCAAAAATGATTTTGTTATCGTGTTTAAAATATCATCAAAGATTAACTATTCACAACAATTTTCCGCCTCTCTCTGCGTAAGTTAGTTTAAGTTAAATTCCACGTCGGCTAAACTTTACGCGACTTGTGTGAGCGAATTCCCCTATATGTATGTATAGTAAAATGTGAATTTGGCAGAAACTGGTAATAGTTCCACCGAATATATAGAATGTACACTTTTCCTTCACTTCCATTTTTGTAATATAAGTTTTATAAATTATTTATTTGTAATAGTTGTCTCAGAAAAAATTAAATTATAAGTAGACTGAACATCTTTAAGAACGTTAATCAAAGCCAGTTTGTTTAAATCTTTATACTTCGATAAAGGGCAGTGGAAACGCAGGTACGTACAGTTAGATTCGCAGTTAACGCCAAAATAGTTGCCGGTACAAGTGCAGTTGTATCCGTTTGCGTTAGAAGCAGGACCGCAGGATCCAGTGTTACATGGGTTTGGCATGCACACTGAAATTATATAATTAATACATATAATCACATATAAAAGTCAAAAACAATGTTGAATAATAGCACCAGGAGACACATTTTTGTATCAGCATGGTCTTATTAACCTTGTATGTTTTGTCCACTTTTCTCTGTGAGTGAGTGAGTTTGGTTTTACTCCGCTTTTAGCAATATTCCAGCAATATCACGGCGGGGGACACCAGAAAATGGGCTTCACACATTGTACCCATGTGGGGAATCGAACCCGGGTCTTCGGCGTGAAGAGCGAACGCTTTACCCACTAGGCTACCCCACCGTAGAATCAGAGAACACTTAAATCAAATCACCAAATATTATCCAAACAGCCTCCAGGGCTTCACCAAAAGAAAACTTGCAGAAGCTTTTCAAATCCGCCAACACTTGCCCTCAATTAGCAGAGACCAAGGATATCTCATTCTTCATAATACAGAAGTAATCATCCATACAGTATTCTACATTTCTCGTATAAATTAAGTAACAAAACCATCACTGTGGCGTGCAACTGATATTTACAATTGGTTTCGCAGTTGGTTCCAGTGAAGCCCTCCGGACAACTGCAGGTTTGGTATGGTGCACCTTGTACAGGCAAACACATAGCGCCATTCTGACACGGTCCATTCGAGGCACAAGCTGAAACATACAGAAGAATATGAACCCCACTGTGAAATGATCTGTAGTATTACTCACCTGAGACAGTGTCGTATGACTGATGAACTATCATTTAAAGGAGATGGTGTCGTACGTATGATGAACTATCATTTATATGCGATAGTGTAGTATGCCTGATAAACTATCATTTAAAGGAGATAGTGTCGTATGCCTGATGAACTATCATTTAAAGGAGATGGTGTCGTACGTATGATGAACTATCATTTATATGCGATAGTGTAGTATGCCTGATGAACTATCATTTAAAGGAGATAGTGTCGTATGACTGATGAACTATCATTTAAAGGAGATAGTGTCGCATGCCTGATGAACTATCATTTAAAGGAGATAGTATCGCATGCCTGATGAACTATCATTTAAAGGAGATAGTGTCGTATGCCTGATGAACTATCATTTAAAGGAGATGGTGTCGTACGTATGATGAACTATCATTTATATGCGATAGTGTAGTATGCCTGATGAACTATCATTTAAAGGAGATAGTGTCGTATGACTGATGAACTATCATTTAAAGGAGATAGTGTCGCATGCCTGATGAACTATCATTTAAAGGAGATAGTATCGCATGCCTGATGAACTATCATTTATAGGAGATAGTGTCGTATGCCTGATGAACTATCATTTAAAGGAGATAGTGTCGTATGACTGATGAACTATCATTTAAAGGAGATAGTGTCGTATGCCTGATGAACTATCATTTAAAGGAGATGGTGTCGTATGACTGATGAACTATCATTTATATGCGATAGTGTCGCATGCCTGATGAACTATCATTTATCTGCGATAGTGTCGTATGCCTGATGAACTATCATTTAAAGGAGATAGTGTCGTATGACTGATGAACTATCATTTAGAGGAGATAGTGTAGTATGCCTGATGAACTATCATTTAAAGGAGATAGTGTCGCATGCCTGATGAACTATCATTTAAAGGAGATAGTGTCGTATGCCTGATGAACTATCATTTAAAGGAGATAGTGTCGTATGCCTGATGAACTATCATTTAAAGGAGATAGTTTCGTATGCCTGATGAACTATCATTTATATGCGATAGTGTCGTATGCCTGATGAACTATCATTTATATGAGACAGTGTCGTATGCCTGATGAACTATCATTTATATGCAATAGTGTCGTATGCCTGATGAACTATCATTTAAAGGAGATAGTGTAGTATGCCTGATGAACTATCATTATATGCGATAGTGTAGTATGCCTGATGAACTATCATTTAAAGAAGATAGTGTCGTTGGCCTGATGAAATATCATTTATATGAAATAGTGTCGTATGCCTGATGAACTATCATTTAAAGAAACAGTGTCGTACGTATGATGAACTATCATTTAGAGGAGATAATGTCGTACGTATGATGAACTATCATTTAAAGGAGATAGTGTCGTACGTATGATGAACTATCATTTAAAGGAGATAGTGTCGTACGTATGATGAACTATCATTTAAAGGAGATAGTGTCGTACGTATGATGAACTATCATTTAAAGGAGATAGTGCCGTACGTATGATGAACTGCAATCTACATGAACTACTGCCATGTACCTGTTAAACAATCACGTATAGAGAATATGCCATATGCCTGATAAATATGGCTGATACTTACCATTCATTTCGCAGTTGATACCGGAGAATCCTGGTTGACACATGCACGTGTACCGTGAACCGGTTGTTGTACCCTGGCACGTACCGCCATTCTGACAAGGTGTGGTTGATGCACATACTGAAAACATTCAACAACTGACACGTAGATGGTGACATGAGGATAGTGTTAACAAGTTGTGAAGTATTACAAGTCGTGAGAGTAGCACTAACAAGTTGTGAAGTATTACATGTCTCAGTGGGTAGAGCTAACAAGTTGTGAAGTATTACATGTCTCGTGGGTAGTGCTAACTAGTTGTGAAGTATTACATGTCTCGTGGGTAGTGCTAACAAGGTGTGAAGTATTACATGTCTCGTGGGTAGCGCTAACAAGTTGTGAAGTATTACATGTCTCGTGGGTAGCGCTAACAAGGTGTGAAGTATTACATGTCTCGTAGGTAGCGCTAACAAGTTGTGAAGTATTACATGTCTCGTGGGTAGGCTAACAAGTTGTGAAGTATTACATGTCTCGTGGGTAGTGCTAACAAGTTGTGAAGTATTACATGTCTCGATGGTAGCGCTAACAAGTTGTGAAGTATTACATGTCTCGTTGGTAGCGCTAACAAGTTGTGAAGTATTACATGTCTCGTGGGTAGCGCTAACAAGTTGTTAAGTATTACCTTCGTGAGGGTAGCGCTAACAAGTTGTGACGTATTACAATTCGTGATCTATCAAGTTTATTCTACTTAAAGGTATAATTATTCAAAGCATTTGTACATTTTTTAAATGATTATTCATGCATTAACATAACAAAGAGAGAAATAGTACTTAATTAATCCCTCATTATTCAGGGATTATGCTACAATACGTTAAAACTTTTAGACTCCTCTTAGAAATCTGTGTTGAAAAAAACTTGACTCTTACCATCTACCTCACAGGTAGGGCCGTTGAAGCCAGCGTTACAGTTGCACGTGTTAACTCCCCCAACAAACTCGCAAATTCCATTTACGCACGGGTTGGGTAAACACTCTATAACACGATAAATAGGTACTGTTAAAAACAACCTTACACATAGGGGGTGTGGTTGGGGTTAAATATCAGACAACATTTTGCTAATCTGGTAGGAAGAATGCCAGAACAGGAGAACATTTCAACTCAAAAGATGACGGTTGTAAGTAACATCAGAAACAAGTAAACACACGCTAAAGGGTAAGTAGGTTTTAAGACCTGGGCCTAGATTTTCAAAGCTCTCTTAGCGCTAAGATAGTCGTAAGTGCCATACATTAACATTACACTTACGACTATCTTAGCGCTAAGAAAGCTTCGAAAATCTAGGCCCTGTTCAATAATACCACAGTTATACATCACATCATATTTGAAAATAATGCTGGTATGATACCCATGCGCAGTTGGATCATGCTCACTGACCAAATTCACGAGGAATTGTGAACTAGGTTCCACGGCCATATGAGTGAGTGAGTGATTTTAGTTTTACGCCGCACTCAGCAATATTCCAGCTACACGATTACATGAGAGAGAGTACATTACACACAACAGTAAGTTTAACTACAACGCAGTATCATCTACACAGCATGCCAAGTTCAGAAGAACACAAATTCCTCGCTATTATTCACCATTACAGGGAGGGGTGGGAGTGAATGAAGCGGTTTCTAAGATGTTCAGTTAAAACAAGATTCGAGATATACATAGCTTTCATATACTCTTCAGAAAAAAAGTAGGGGAACCTGAACTTTTAATTTGGATAGGAAGTGTAAGCGTTAACAAACTTTCCAAAGACAGACATCTTATGAACGCACCACCATTTGCCTTTATCACCATCCCTGAACACAACGCATGGGGTGCCATTCTTGATTTTGACGGTTTTCAAGAAGGTCGAGAAATCACCGTAGACCATTACAATCATCTTGCATCACATAGTTATTTGTGCTTGCTTTTGCCTTATTTTTGTTTGAAAATGAAAATCGTACAGATGCAAATTTCACATCATACACCAATCATCTTTCAAGACCGATTCCTGTACAAACAACTACAGTCATAAGGAAGTGCAAGTGGTGATGTGCTCTCAAAACATTCATTAGTATTATATCAACATTGATTGACTGAATCGTAAAGTAAATAATGAAGTTCCTCTGCTTTTACTGAGTATAGTTAGTTCGAGTTATCAAGGCTGTACATACGCGCAGTTCCAACACAACAGATTTTGTTATCAAAGCACAGAGATTCCAGTGATGTAGTGCCAGATGGACATGAAGCCAGGGAATAGCACGTGTGCTGTTGTGTCTCACATGCTGAAAAAAAAAGAAAGAAAAAGTAAATTTTACATGAACATATATCAACGCTAAATCCATTATTTATTCGAACAATCAGCCATTCATCATTTTGAACGGTTGTTTTATGCCATGTTACACAAATACAACTAAAATATATATCTGTATTCGGTTGGCATTTTGACGATTGGTTCTACGTATATATTAATCCACGAACGCATCTATCATCAATGCAGATCCAACAATCAACCGTTAGTCGCTACGAGATTTTCCCATACATAGAACTGATCAATATCCAACCATCAAACGTTAGTCGCTATGAGATTTTCCCAAACATAGAACTGGAACCAGATCCAACAATCAGACGTTAGTCGCTATGAGATTTTCCCAAACATAAAACTGGAACCAGATCCAACCGTTAGTCGCTACGAGATTTTCCCATACATAGAACTGAAACCAGATCCAACAATCAGACGTTAGTCGCTATGAGATTTCCCCATACATAGAACTGATCAATATCCAACCATCAAACGTTAGTCGCTATGAGATTTTCATACATAGAACTGGAACCAGATCCAACAATTACACGTTAGACGCTATGAGATTTCCCCATACATAGAACTGATCAATATCCAACCATCAAACGTTAGTCGCTATGAGATTTTCCCATACATAGAACTGGAACCAGATTAAACAATCAAACGTTAGTCGCTACGAGATTTTCCCATACATAGAACTGGAACCAGATTAAACAATCAAACGTTAGATTTATTTACAAACATAAAAGAAATAAAACCCAAACGAAGTTAAGGTTCTTTACGTTCAAACGGATGAGGTATAATTCGTCATAATGGAAAACGTATCTGGCTTCACACACAAACATTCTACACTTCGAAAATATACATTTATCGCAGTCGAATATGTATTGCTCAGCTTCATCATTTAACGAATTCAAATTACAAACTGGAATTAAATACTTCGAAAATGACAACCCCCAAGTATTCATATGTTTATCGTCAATCTATCGAGATCACAGTAGGACAATCCTATAAAACAACTGGGTTGTTCTGTAATTTCTTACTGACGGTAATCATGTTGTGCAGCGAGTACAAAAACTAATGATGTTAAAGAAATTGTGTTTAATCATAATATTAATTGAAAAAATGTCTTCTCTGACAATTGTCAGGTAAACTGAAAATGGGATTAAAATTATTCAAAACTTACGTGACGTGAACACAAAGCCTGTGGTGAAGCCGACCAAGCAGCAAGACACGAGAACAAATAGCATCTTCATGTTCGTCCGGGAGAGCTTGGAAGAAAATCCACGTCTGAAGGAATGATGATGGCGTTGAATTTATATCCAAATATTGTGTATGTAATTCAATGTTTATATACATATGCCTATTCATATGTTTCGTTATCTACTGAGCCTCCACCAAGAACAAATAATGTACCCTTCAAACTAACAGACCAAACTGTGAGAAACCTATTCATCCTTTCTCAGAAAATACACAGAATCCTTGCCACCATTGGTTATATTGTTCACGCATCGTTGGGCCTAAATGAATAATCGTGCGTCACCAATAAACTGGCTCTATGTGTACGTAGCTTGTTGCAAACGTACCAAGTACACATGTAACTTACAGACGCTAGACAAAAGTAACATAATAGCTCGGCAACCACCAACCTGCTTCACAAATGCTAAAAACAGATTGTAGTTCTATCAAAGTTCTTCAAAGGTATTCAACTACATTTCTTGTGGGTTTCTCGTCGGTGAGTAGCTTTTAAATCAATGACATAGTCAGAATTGTACACTCCACTCTGCTTTGAGCAGAGATTTCTTATGGATGTGGAAATATTTTTGTGGCTTCTGTTTAAATGTTAATAATAAATTCATAAGTTTGATAACTTTTTGTTAAAACTGGCTTTTCTATCAAGCTTTTGAAGGCAAAGTCATTCGAGAAAATTAATTGCAGACTTTCAGTGAAATGTACTAAAATGTGACAGATATTACCTATGGGTTTTGTACACGTATTCATGTTCTCATGGTCGCTGGTTAGGTTGAGTGAGTTTAGTTCTATCCGCTTTTACCCATATTCCAGCAATATCACCAGAAATGGGATTCACACATTGTACTCATGTCGGTTTTCAGCGTGACGAGCAAACACTTTAACCACTTGGCTACCCAACCGCTTCTCGCTGGTTAGGGTTACTAAAATATTAATCATAAATTTCATAACATTCATTTATATCTACCGACGAGCGAACACTTTAACCACTTGGCTACCCAACCGCTTCTCGCTGGTTAGGGTTACTAAAATATTAATCATAAATTTCATAAATTGACAACATTCATTTATATCTACCGACTTCCAGTGAATAAAATGTAATACTATGACCTTTGAATGGTGTTTTTACCACTCCCTACTGGCACTCGCTAATATAATATGAATACCAGTATCCTGTTGACCACATATCCTGTTGGGTACATATCTGTTGAGTAAATATCCTGTTGACCACATATCCTGTTGGGTACATATCTGTTGAGTACATATCCTGTTGACCACATATCCTGTTGAGTACATATCTGTTGAGTATATATCCTGTTGGGTACATATCTGTTGAGTACATATCTGTTGAGTACATATCTGTCGAGTATATATCTGTTGAGTACATATCTGTTGAGTACATATCTGTTGAGTATATATCCTGTTGGGTACATATCTGTGGAGTACATATCTGTT